GCTGAGAGTGTGAGGGAAGGTGCTCATAGGAAATCAGCCAGCGCGTACAGACCCAATTCAGGATGTTTTATCATTATTATTATTACTGTTGTTATTTGTTGTTGCTATTATTATTGATAGCTGGCATTTGTGTATTGCATTTACAGTTAGCATTTATTTATTCCAAAGTGTAAATCTCATTTTGTCCTCACAGTAACCCTGGGAGATAGGTGTTATTATTATTTCCATTTTTCAGATAAGAAAACTAAGGGAGACAGATTAAGTGACATGCCTAGGGACACATAGCTACTAAGCACATGAGGCTGAATTTGAAATTGGTTCATTCTGCCTCTGGGTCCAGCACTGTGCCACCTAGCTGCACAAAATAATTTTTCTCTCAAAGGGGAGCATATAGAGATAGTGTAATATTTCTGTCTTGTCCAGTGTGTATATGTGTGTTTTGGGAAAAGAGTATAAGCAAAAGTCACAGAGAAGGGATATGTAGGAGGAGAGATTTGGGAAAGGATTGTGATCAATATCATGTGCTATTTAAGAAAAGGCCGGAATAGCCATCATATTAAGTTCAGTTAACAAGCATTTACTGAGCACCCATTATACAAAAAGCTCTATATTGCGCACCGTATGTTTTCCCGAGATGAATGAGTTATCTTCAAGGAGTTAAATTCTTGTAGGGGAGTTAAAGCACAGATATGTTATCAGCTACACAATCCCCTAGTTTCATAGTAGCTCAAAGAAGAGGAGAGATGGCTTATGGCAAAATGGGAGCAATTGTCAAGTGAATTGTTCAGATTATATAAATGCATGAGAATTTCAGGACAAGGAGAGAGTTTACTTCTGGGGATGGGAGTATTCAGGGAAGGCTTTATGGACTAGGTAGAATTTAGGTTGGCTGTGAAGTGTGAGGGGATAGAGAGAGGAGGAAAGTGTATTTTGCCTTTATGAGACTAGCATGAACAAAAACACAGGGAGAAGAAAATACATGATAGTGAAATTCAGAATTTGAAGAACTCATCATCAGAAAGACACATCAGCAAATTGCAATACTGTACTTTGATGATTTACTTGAAAACAAAAAGTTTATATATAAGCAAAAATAAATACAATTTTAAATGTAAAAGAGGCAAGGTAGAGTACCGACATACCTCAGAGACATTCAGGTTAGATTCCAGACCATCATAATAAAGCAAGTTGCACGAACTTTTTGGTTTCCAGGTGAACATATATTTTTTTGGTTTTCCCAGTATGTTTACACTATACTATAGTATATTAAGTATGCAATATTTATGTCAAAAAAACCCAATGTGGATACCTTTATTAAAAATACTTTATTACTGAATAAGTCTGAGGCACCATCTGAGCCTTCAGCGAGTTTGTAATCTTTTCACCCATGGAGAGTCTTGCCTCAATGTTGATAGCTGCTGACTTGTCAGGGTGGTGGCTGCTGAAGGATGGAATGTCTGTGGCAATTTCTTAAAATAAGATAACTATTATGTTTGTCACATGGATTGACTCTTCCTTTCACTTGAACGCTTAGAGGCCATTGTAAGGTTACTAATTGGCCTAATTTCAATATTGTTGTGTCTCAGAGAAGAGGGAGGTCTGAGGAAAGAGAGATAGAAGGGAATGGCTGGTCACACATTTATTAATTTCTCTGTCTCATATGGGAGCAGTTTTTGGTACCCCCAACAGTTACAGTAGTAGCATCAAAGATCACTGATCACAAATCACAATAACAGATATAATAATACAAAGTTTGAAATATTATGAGAATTACCAAAATGTGACACAGTGACACAATGTGAGCACATGCCTTTGAAAAAATGGAGCTGATAGATTTGCTTGATGCAGTTTTGCCACAACACCTCAATTTGTGAAAAATGCAATGTCTGTGAAGCTCAATAAAGTGAAATGCAATAAAATGAGGTATGTCTGTAGTGGGAAGAGAACTAGTCAAAGAATCAGGAAGACTTAGGTTCAAGTCCCATCTCTGACACATACTGACTGTGTGTGGCTCTGGGGAAGTCACTTAAAATCTTGGTGATCCAGGTAACTATTCAAGACTGATGCTTGTCTGTGTTGGTAGAGGATGTAGCTTCACCAGGGGATCCTTGATTAATGAAATCAGGATCAAATCCAAGAAAAATTACAAGATTGGGTTTATCTGGTTTGATAGAAGTTCACATGAAAAAGAACTCAGGGTTTTAGTTTCCCATAAAGTCAGTAAGTAGCATAGTATCACTTCTAATGGGGCAGCTAGGTGGTATAGAGGTTAGAGGGCCTGGTCTAGAGTCAGAAAGATTCATCTTCCTGAGTTCAAATTTGGCTTCAGACACTCACTAGCTATGTGACCTTGTGCAGGTAACCTAAACCTGTTTGCCTTGGTTTCCTCATATGTAAAATGAGCTAGAGAAGGAAATGGGAAACATCTTTAGTATTTCTGCCAAGAAAACCTCAAATGGGATCATGGAGAGTTGGATATGACTGAAAAATAACAATGAAAAGTCACTTCTAATGGGTTGCAGTAATATTATTGTATCAAAAGTGAGGGATATATGGTCCTGCTTTTCTCTCTCTTAGTCAGGTTTTGTCTGGAGTACTGGGTTCAGTTCCCATTGTCAGACTTTAGGAGAGACCTTGATAAACTAAGGAATATACAAATAAGTAAGTCCAAGAGACTTAGAGGTCTGACAACTGTTCCATATGGGGAATGGTTGATGCAATTTGGGATGATTAATCTGGAGAAGAAAAGATCTAGGGGACACCATTCATTCATTAATTCATTCAACAACATTTTATGAGTGGCTGCCATGTACCAGAGTCATAGGGGATACAATGGTGCAAAAGGCATAGTCCTTGCTCTCCAAGAGTATTTCATCATGTAGGGTGGAGAAAAAGATACACAGATGATGAAAAAAAGAGGTAATATGATGTGTTCTAAGATAGACAAGCTTAGTAGGATTTCAGAAGAAGGAGGGCTCTCTTCCATTTGGCAGTTGGTTAAGGATTGGAGATTAATCTTGGAAGATTTGAGTCAGAATATGGGATTTTAGTTGAGTACTAATCATTGTTGTTGTTGTTGTTGTTTGTCCTTCCTTCTCAAAGAGGACCATGACATCAGGAAGGTGATGACATGACTTGCAAGTGAATTGGATTTAAGTGAGGGAAGGCTGTGCTGAGTCACCAGCCTCACTTTCTCCTCCAGAGCCATCTGGTGCAGTGGCAAGATGTAGGTCCTAGCCCACATCCCACTTGGTCATTGAACTTTGATGGCTCAGCATGAGCAGAAATGGCAATTGTTTCTGTCTTGGCCAAAAACCCTGAGAGTCTTCCCCTTCCAGATAAACAATAGGTAAATAAATGTAAATAGCCAGGGTTCCACTACATTAACGCTGGTTTTGGCTTGAATCTCTGACTCAGAACTCCAACTTCAGCATTTCCCTTATCTCTTCCCCATTCTCTGATTCCAACCCAATGACTTCACCCTGGCTAGGGGCAATAGAGGAAGGGTTATTTATCCTTATTAAATTTTAAGCTGTTAATTTTGACTCACCCTCAAGATATTTTTGAATTCAAATTCCAATATATTAGCCACATATCTTCATCAGAGTTAAGAGAACAGAACAGAACAGAAGAGAGAGAAAGAGACAGACTGAGAAAAATACAGACAGGGAGAGAATAGGAGGAAGACAGAGTGGTAGAGAGGAAGGAAAGTAGGGGAAAGAGAGAGAGAGAGACAGACAGACAGAGACAGAGACAGAGAGAGAGAGACAGGGAGACAGAGGGACAGAGAGATGGAGTCAGATATATATATACATATACATATATATATATATGGAGAGAGAGAGAGAGAGAGAGAGAGAGAGAGAGAGAGAGAGAGAGAGAGAGAGAGATTCTGCTTTGTTGAGTAGACAAATGAAGCTATACTCCTTATTCTACATGGAAGGAGAGAGATAGAATAAATGACTAGTAGAGGAAAATATAATTTCTTAAATATGGAAACTATACCCAAGGGATTTTTTATGAGAGAGTTACAAACTAACATGAACACACATGGAACTACATCAGGACAGATAGAATACACAATAGAGCTGATAGGTCAGAATTTGAGACCTCCTATTTTTATAATGGAGAAAGACCCCAAAAGGTTAAGTGGCTTATTTGAGGCTACTTGATGAGGCAAGACTAGAATCAGGACTCCAACTTCTACAGAAAACTTGATAAGCTCTAAGCATCAAAATGTGAATGGATCATTTGTAGGTTTGGGGGGAATGAATGTGGTATAGTAGGAAGAATAGTGGACTCAAAGTCAAGAAAGATCTCAATTTTAATTCCCATACCCAAAATTTACTGGGTGTTTGAACATGCTCCCTTAACATGTATGAATCTTAGCTTGCTCTTCTATAAAAGAGGAAAAACAATGCTTACAATATCTACCTTATAGGGCGGTTGGTGAGGATGAAATCAAATAAAGTATATAAATCACTGTAATGTGATTTATTGTTATCATTTTCACCATTTTATTATTATATCACGTTATCATCTAGGGGAGAACATGTTTGGGTTTGGGGTATGGTCAATGGGGAAAGAACTCTGCTCTAGAAGTCAATGGTACTGTTCCTAATCCTACCTTTGCTACTTTCACTAAATTGTTTTGAAACAATCACTTGTCTTTTCTATAGTTGTTTCCCAACCATAAAAATGAGGGATTTTGAGTCATAACCTAACCATTTTGCAGGGAATTGTAGAGGTACATGCCTTTGAAAAAGGAAAAAAAAATCCTTTACAAAATGGGAGCTTCAATTAGCACTAGAATTGGGCTGAGGTCAGGAGGTACATATCTGTGGATAGGGAGCATGGAACTATGTTTCATTGGGAAGAGTAATCTGAGAAAATGGCCTTTAGCCCATTCCATAAGTTCATTGCCATTTGACTTCTCCTTTCCTTTTTTTTCAGGATGGATTCACTGTGAGTCACAGCTCATAATCTCTGGGGGTGCCACCATGCTGGGCAATTCCACTATCCCCAGCTTCTCATCCTTTTTCTTGGTTGGTATTCCTGGTCTAGAAGTCTTCCACTGTTGGTTGAGCATTCCTGTTTGTTTTCTATATGCCTTGACCCTGATAGGGAATGGCTTCATTATCCTTGTGATAAAAGAAGAATCCAGCCTTCATCAGCCCATGTTCTTTTTCCTTTGCATGCTGGCCTTTGATGATATAGCCATTGCCTCAACCACAGCCCCCAGGATGCTTGACATCTTTTGGCTGGATGCTCATGTCATTGGATTTGATGTCTGCCTGGCGCAAATGTACTTAGTCCACACCTTTTCCATCATTGAATCAGCTCTTTTGGTAGCCATGGCCTTTGACCGCTATGTTGCCATCTGCCATCCACTTCATTATACTACCATTCTGACCACTCCTTTGGTCATCAAGCTAGGGGTGATTAGTGTGGCCCGAGGTGCCATTATGGTTTTGCCCTGCCCATTGCTCATCAAGCAGCTGAGGTATTGTACCCAGAATGTTATCCGGCATGCCTACTGTGAACACATGGCTGTGGTGAAGCTTGCCTGTAGCGACACCTATATAAATCGTAGCTATGGTATCTTTGTGGCCCTCTCAGTCATACTTCTGGACATTGGACTTATTTCTTTGTCCTATGTCAAGATACTTCAGGCTGTCTTCCGACTTTCCTCCAAGGATGCCCGCTCTAAGGCACTAGGCACTTGCGCTGCTCATATCTGTACTATCCTCATCATCTATATACCTTCATTGTTTAGTTTCCTCACCCATCGCATTGGTAAGAGGGTTCCCCCATCCGTTCACATCATCTTTGCCACCATATATCTCCTGGTGCCACCTGCAGTCAATCCACTGGTCTATGGTGTAAAGACCAAGCAGATTCGTGAACTAGTGGTCATCCTCTTCTTCAGGAGAAAGGATAAAGTCTCCAAGCACTAGTATAGGCTTAAGCATGCCATTTCTTGGGACTGTAATTACTTCCTGTGAGGAATCACTGGGATTGGACCGAGAGGACAATGAGATTGATGCTCTGCCTACAGTTGGCCTATCTGCAAACCCTGACACATTTTGTCTACACTCATCTCCCCCACAACAACTGCAGGGAGTTTGGGTAGAGTGTAATGAGATAGTTCTGATACAACTAACTGATTTGGCTCTGTCTTGAAGGTGTTCTTCATATATACTTGGGCCTGGTTTATCTACCTCCATGTACTGGTCAGAGTTTGAGGCTTGGGCCAAGTTCTTGTCTCTTGCCTCTGATTTAGGAGAGATACTACCTGATGAAGAACATGAAGAGGCAATCCTAGACTTGTCTGCCACATCCCCAGGCTCTTTGAGGAATCTTGAATCAGTCCTGATGATTTGACCTTCTTTTCAATATCAGTTCCAAAAGATCTTGGGAGGGAGGAGAATGATTTCTTGGCCTCAGATTGAAGAAGTTCTTTGTAAGTTATAAAGGTTATAAATTCATTGTCAAGAAACCTTTGGAAATCACGAAGATATGACCAGACAAAGAGTCCAAGAGCTATGAAGATAGACTCTTCCAGCCAGACTTCAGTCTTTCTCAATTTTTCTTCCTGTTAAAATTGAATTATACTAGGGACAGGACAAATTCAATGTGAGCCATCATTGAGTTGTGGTCCAGAGCCCTTTGCCTCTCAGCATTATGATCTTACTTGGTCTCCTCTGCACCCAATCCAAGCTCCTCCTGACCTCAAATACTACCTTGACCTTTTCCCACCCTGATCATGACCAATGCCTACATTGACTATTCACTCCCAAAGTTCAGTCATTGTTCACTGAGACTCACCATGGTGGCTTGGCCTGAACAAGCCAATATGACATAGGTCTCTGGACACGTCCAAGAAAAACCGGACATTATCTACTTTGTTCTGCAACAACATTCACTGGCCTATGTGCACTCAGTTTTAGGTTGGTAGAAAACGAATACGTTCAGAGGGTAGTGCTTTGCATAAGGTGCTGAAAATTATTATCAGGATGTTAGCTGGAAGTACTAAGGCTCTAGCACCACACAATTCCCAGTATGAAACTAGTAATGTTGATAAAGAGATGCTTCCTGAACCAACCAGGATGGCCTGGTAGGCTCAGGTTTTCAAGAAACATTTTAAACACTAACCAAAACAAAGAAATCAGTAAACACAAGTTTGACTTAGAAATATGGAAGAATTTGATGACCAATTTCTGGCTTCTGAACTACTCACCTTAGAAATCTGTATAATAATGTGTGGAATACACTGGAAGATTTTTGTCCTGATGTAACCTTTCCTTCTCTTGCTTCTGTAGTCTATGGCATTCCATACCTGTGTCAGCCTAATGTATACATCAGGAAGAACTCTCAGACCATTGCCTTTTCCTCCAGCTAGTGCCAAAAAAGCCCCCTGTCATTAGGATGGTGGAAGTCAGTCCTACAGACAGTGGCCATATGACTGAACGAGAAATATTTTCAAGAAGTTCTTGGATGGATTATAGGGTGGCAAATGCTGCTACATTATTCAGAGAAATTTTCCTATGGTTTGAGCCATCCGACAAACTGATACACTTCTCAATGCTAGTAGATTCTTTGGCATTGTAATTCTTCATACAGAGGTAGGATGGTTCATTATATGGAGTTTCTTGTTTAGATACAGGTTGAAAATAGGTGACCTTTTAAGTCTCTGCCCTTTCTTCTAACCCTGAGAGTCTATGCTTCTAAAAATGGGTTTTCAGCTTTATCAAGAGAAACTTGAAAAAAAAAAAAGAACTACCCCACGCAATGGGCCAGGTACTGTACTAGACAATGTTAATGAAACAGAAACATATATTTTATCAAATCTTATATTCTATATTTATAGTTGATATCATTATCTTTCCCTAAACCTGCCCCTTTCCAAACTTCTTTGTTACTCTTCAGAGCACCCTTATTCTTCCATTCACCCAGATTCACAACCTTCATATCCCAAATATAATAAGTTGCCAAGTCTTGGCAAATCTCCCTCTACAACATCTCTCTAATCCTTTCCCTTATTTCCACGAATATGGCTACTGTCTTAGTTCAGTTTCTTATCAGTGTTTGCCTGGACTATTGTTACTGTCTCCTAATAGGTGTTCTTGTTTCCTATCTCCACCCTTTCTAATCTATCTAGCACAGAACTGCCAAAATAATCTTCCTGAGGTAAAGAAAGGTATGAAAATGTTATCTCTTTTTTAAAAATAATCTATGGTTTTCTATTATCTCTAGTATAAAATAGAAACTCATGTGGATTTTTAAGGTCTTTTATAATCTACCTCCAACCTACCCTTCCAGCCTATTATACCATTATTAACCTTCATGTACTATACGTTCAAGTCAAGCCAGAGCAACACATTTTCCCTGAAAATAATATTGCATCTCATGTCTCTGTGACTTTGAATAGCCATAATTAAAAAAGAATAGAGAAAAAGATGCCATCCTATTGCTTCACATGCCTAAATTTTCCTCTTCCCTCATCTCCATACCTAAGGATCCTTTGTTTCCTTCAAGGCTCCAGTCAGGTTCTACTTCCTCACATAAAACCTTTCCTTTTCCCTCAATTGTTAGTGTTTTCTCCCTTTTACTATTTATTTGTATAAATGTCATATTTCCCTCATCTCCTTAGAGTGTCAACTCTTGGAGGGTTGGGATGGTTCTTCATTTTATCTTTGTATCCTCAGAACCTAGCACAGTGCCTTGAACCAAAGTGGGCACTTAGTTACTTGTCAAATTGAGTCAAATTGGCCAATGCAAGGATAATGGCGATTGTTAATATTAGTTCCATGGCACGATAAATCCTTGAATCCAGATCCTGGACAGTAACCATATAGAGAAAGTAATGAAGTTAGCAACTTTATCTTGTGTCATATTACTGTCATGGAAGCCTTTTGCCTTAGGTCTCCCTGTGTCATAACTTCTCCTCACTTCTAACCCCCAAGGCAAGAATACAAATACAGTGTCATAAGACACAATTTAACCTTCCAACTTTCCATCAAAGTTCATGTCTTTCTATTACATGACTACATAGAAGGTCCAATTGAAGTCACTCTCTGTGGTCTTAACAAGTTAACTCTCTTCCCATGCTCTCTTGTTCACTACTCTAGTGGTGTCAGCAAATGAACAAATGAGTGAATAAGTAAATAAACAAAAAAAGCATTTATTAAACACTTGCTATGTGTCAGTCTTTGTGCTAAGTTATGGGTATGTAAATAAAAGCAATCAAGTCCAAGCAATCAAGGTCAGGTCCTCGACCTCAAAGAACTTATATTCTAATAGGAGCTATGAGTTAGTAGAGGTCACATAAGAAGTCAGTAGCAGAACTATATCTTGAACCAGGTGTCCTAACATAGATTCCACTGTTATTCACATTATACCATGTTGTCACCAAGTTCAATGACCAGAAACTTAACCATCTGGAACTTTCAATAAGAATTCCCACCCCCCACACACTTCCCTGTACTCTATTTTTAGGAGAAATAGGCAAATTAAAGAAGCCTTAGCCGAGTCAGAGATTTTAAAATAATAATAATGACAACAACTACATTTATATAGAGCTTTAATGACTTACATTTATATAGAGCTTTAAAGTTTGCAAAATATTTTGCATTATTTATCTTCTTTGAATATCATGCCCTCAGAAGTACATATGGCCGTCGCCATTTTGTGGATGAAATAATTGAAGCATTCAGACTTGTTGAGAAGCTTGTTATGACTAAGTAGGTATTTGGGGTCAGAAGAATGATTTGAATGAGGTCTTCTTGTCTCCAAGTTCAGCATTCTTTACATTATGTCACATTGTCTCAATTTCCAGGAACTGTCCTGTGGCCAATACATTAATTTTATTTACCTTCACTTCCTGCTTCTTCATTTCTTAACAATAGCCACTGATATTCAGAATTATGGCACCAAGTCCTCTCACTTACTTAAATAATTGAAGAGAGATTAGAATAAATACTTTTTAGGATATTCTGTCTACTAAAGTAGGTTGTGAGTCAGTCAATTCAATCAAATTCTATAAGCATTTATTAAATACTTTCTAAGTGCCAGGCAATGTACTTGATGCTGGAGCTCTAAAAACAAAGATGAAATAATACTCTCCCAAAAAAAGGACGGGGTGATATAATTAAAGATAGCTTTAGAAGATTATGCATTTTAAAAATATATAATATCTAGATTTTTACTACTTTAATTCTCCCTGAGAATAAAGAGACTTTGAATGCAAATTGATGCTTTGATGACTTGTTACCAATTTTGCGAGTAGAAAGATTTTAAAAAGTGATAGCTGAAGAAACCTGGAAAGACTTATATGAACTGATGCATAGTGAAGTGAACAGAATCAAGAGAACATTCTACACAGTAATAGCGACATTGTTCACTGAAGAACTGTGAAAGACTTAGCTCAGCAATACAGTGATCCAAGACAATCCCAGAAGACTAATGATGAAACATACTACCTGCCTCCAGAGAAAGAATTGATATTGATTGAATACAGACTGAAGCATGCTATTTTCCACTTTCTTTCATTTTTTTTCTGTTTTTTAAGTCTTCTTGTACAAAATGACTAATATGGAAATGTTTTACATAATTGCACATGTGTAACCCATATTTGATTGCTTACTATCTCACAGAGGGGGGAGGAGAAGGAGGGAGAGAAGGATAGAATATGGAACTAAAAACTTTAAGACTGTTAAAAATTGGAAAAAATGATAGTTGAAAAAAAGGCTGCATATCCCTTAGTTAATTAGAAAATTCTTTGTTTGTTAGAGTTAATTGAGTTTCAAAGAAATAATCCTATGCAAATATAAGCATGATGTTGAAATCAATATCTCACTTAGCCATGATATATTCAGTAGGTGAGAACACATCTTAATTTTTCACTAAATGTGAACAAGGGCTGGGCATCTACTTAGGTGACACAGGAAGTCTGTGC